AAGACCATCTTGCCAAATGAAACGAGAATTTTACAGTTTGGTGGAACGCCAGTTCCTCTCAAGTTTCCGCGATATTTGCTTTAATTTGTGAGTTTCAGTATTATACCATGGAGCTAACCGTCTTTGTTTTATTATTTTCTTTTTTAGAGGGGCTACAGAGTCGAGTGTCATTCGCAGCGAGCCTGCAGCGCTATCAACAAGATGATCGATTTGGGAGGGACTGAAATTAGCATAGGAGTCCTCCGTTACCTTGTGACTTGATAATGAATTTAGTGCTGATGGAATCGCATCCTTAAATTTAGCTACAGCACTATCCCTTAACTGAAATGATGTAGCTAACCTGACTAAATATGATACAGCTCTACAGACATTACAGTTCCATTCCACAATTTCAACTAACATTGAACTAACATTTAACTAATGTTTTCTGACTTTTACCCACCTGAATCAAAAACATTAAAGGGTGAGTTGGTTGGCCCTCAGCAATGACTGCCAACTCAAGAAGCAGTGTCTATTAAGTAACTATCGTGTCTTACCTCAATTGTAATGTGTTGCCACAACGCAATAATATAAAAAGAGCAATAAAACCATTAATTTGTCCCACCTTCAGAAAGACAGCCACACTGTGCATGTATTCTCCTTTACTGTATGATTTGGAACAAGAACAAGTTCAGAAAGTCATCCTGCACTGCAGCAGCTTATAAGACAGGCTGTAGAGGATAACAAACGTATCTTTCTCGAGTAATGTAATATAGGCTATATGTATGTAATGTATGTGTTACACACCCCAGGCACAGGGCATGTGGACAGATGATAAAACCTGTAAGACAGGAGAAATGAATAACACAGAAACCTGCTGCCGTTGGTCTTGACGGTCTTGCCAGAATTTATTTAATAAATACAGTAATTTAAGTAAATCAATAAAGTCCCTTTTTGCACATCACTCATTTTAAACTAAATTACTAAATTACATGTGTCAGTAAACACAGATTCATACACAGATATGACAAATAATCCACCTACTCATCATACCTCGTTCGACTCATTAAGGGAGTGTGAACCCATCACATATTAACAGGGGAAAAAAACCCTTTCCTATATCATCAAGGAACGTAAACCTTTAACATATTAACAGAGACGTTGCTGTCCTCAGCGGTTTATAACGTTCCAGGCAAGATAGTGACATTTTTAGGATTAAATTGATTGAACACAAAACATATTTTTATAAACAAAATACAAATAAAACACTTTAAATATAAAATGAAGAACAGGAGCTGGTAACATTAACGGTGGGTATTTATATTGACTAAGGAGCTGGGAGCTAGCTAACGATAACGTTTATGTTTGTTTTACCATTACTGTCATTCTTAGCGGGCGTCCACATAGAGTATAAGTAACTTATAATCAAACACAGTGAATACAAAAAAAACAACAACTTAAACACAAGAGATAATGATTCACTATGCCTATTTATCGGTTTTGTGCTTTGTGTAACTTAATGACCTGTAAATCAGGAGAAATTAATAACACAGAAACCTGCTGTCATTGGCTTTGACCGACGGTCTTGCCAGAATGGCAAGATTACGACAGCTACGTCATCAAAACAGTCCCCAACCGGCAGTAGGAAAGTGCTCTGCTGCCCCCTACTCTCTGTAGTGGAGTACATATTCGTAATGCTAAAACATTGGAGGACTTTGGTGAGTCAACATCAAAAGATCTTGTTAAATTAAACCAATAAAATGCGACCATACATTTTGTGTGCGTCACAACACATATACACATTTTTTTTATATATATATATATATTTTTTTTTTGGAATGATTTTATTTGGTAACTTTACAATGAAATAACCAAAAAAGGAGTAGGCTGAAGCCAAGGCTTATATTTGCCTAGACTATTTAACCATATACCTGAAGAATCAGCATTATAAATTATAAAAGCAGTATACATAATTATACAATACTGTACATACATTTTTTACATAGTATTTACAAGATTTACGTACTAACTGAATAATCATTAATTTTCTTTTTAATGATCTTTTGAAGCTAAACAGAGAAGTACATAATTTCAAATCATCTTTTAGTGAATTCCATTATTTCACACCCATAACTGAAACACATCTAGATTTTACATTAGTTCTTTCTTTTCCACATTCAAACATAAACAGGCCTCTTAGGTTATATCTACCCTCTCAACTTAAATAATTTCTGAATACCAGATGGAAGACTTGTTAAATGCTCTGTACATTATTTCCAATATTTTTATATATACACAATATCTGTGAATTTTAAGGTATTACTTTGAATAAAGAGTTTGTTGGTTGGCGATATCCTACTTTATTAATAAGTCTAATAGCTCTTTTTTGTAACTTAATTAACACATCTATGTTTTATTTGCATTTCCCCATATTTCTGAACAGTATGACAGATATGGCGTAACTAAGGAGGAATATATAATACTCAAGCCTTTATTTTAGATCATTTGTTTTATACAATATTCCGACTGATTTTGCTACCGTGCTTCTAATGTATTCAATGTGGTTTCCAACTAAATTTATTATCTAGGAACACACCTAAGAATTTGGTTTCAATTTCAACTTCATTTAACTGTAACTTTGCATTACTGTGAGTCCTATTACCAGAAAATATCATAAATTTAGTTTTATTTTCATTTAAAGATAAATTATAGTCCACTTCAGCACAGTTAATTCTTTTTTCTACCGATTGCAATAATTCATCCATATTTTTTCATCAGCGAACATTATAAATTTCAACATTGTGGATACTATAAAGATGTCGTTAAAATAGAGAATAAATCATTTTGGTCCCAAAACTGAACCTTGAGGAAGACCGCATATTACTGTTTCTAATTGTGACTGTATTGTTAATTTGTACATACTGAAATCTATTACTTAAATAACTCTTTAACCCCTGATGTGTGACCCCTCGCAAACCATATTGTTCACATTTTTTCAGCAATAAAGCATGGTCAATAGTGTCAAATGCTTTACGCAAATCAATAAACACACCCACTGTGTTGAGTTTTTGGTCAACTGCAGCTGTAACATGTTCAACAAGCTCCATCACAGCTAAGGATGTGGAGCAGTTGTTCCTAAATCTATATTGGTGCTCACTGAGTACATCATATTTATTAAGAAAGGAGTCCAACATGTTTATAAACTATTTAAGTATTTTTGAAAACTGGGGTAACAGTGATATAGGTCTATAGTTAGATAGTGTTTGCTTATCTCCACTTTTATAAACTGGAAACACCTTTGCTATTTTCATTTCATCAGGAAAAGTTCCAGTTAAGAAAGATCTATTACAAATGTAGGTGAAGGGTTTAATAATACAGTGGATGATGTCTTTGATAAGGGCTATATCAATATTATTGCAGTCAGTAGACTTTTTATTTTTAAACTTTCTTACTACTTCTAAAACATCTCTGTCACATACTCCTCCAAGAAACATTGTATTAATATTATTAAATGTAGGGCTGATATATTCCTTATTAAACTTTGGTAGCTCATTAGCCAAATTTGGACCAATATTAACAAAATACTGGTTAAAGGCATCAACAATAGCCTCTATTTTCTATTGTTGTGTTATTATGTTTGGAAGTCTCTGTCTTTATGATTTTTCATTACGTTATTGATAATCCTCCAAGTACCCTTTATATCATGTCTGTATTTTTGCAATACAGTGAGGAAAATAAGTATTTGAACACCCTGCTATTTTGCAAGTTCTCCCACTTAGAAATCATGGAGGGGTCTGAAATTGTCATCGTAGGTGCATGTCCACTGTGAGAGACATAATCTAAAAAAAAAAAAATATCCAGAAATCACAATGTATGATTTTTTTTACTATTTCTTTGTATGATACAGCTGCAAATAAGTATTTGAACACCTGTCTATCAGCTAGAATTCTGACTCTCAAAGACCTGTTAGTCTGCCTTCAAAATGTCCACCTCCACTCCATTTATTATCCTAAATTAGATACACCTGTTTGAGGTCGTTAGCTGCATAAAGACACCTGTCCACCCCATACAATCAGTAAGAATCCAACTACTAACATGGCCAAGACCAAAGAGCTGTCCAAAGACACTAGAGACAAAATTGTATACCTCCACAAGGCTGGAAAGGGCTACGGGGAAATTGCCAAGCAGCTTGGTGAAAAAAGGTCCACTGTTGGAGCAATCATTAGAAAATGGAAGAAGCTAAACATGACTGTCAATCTCCCTCAGACTGGGGCTCCATGCAAGATCTCACCTCGTGGGGTCTCAATGATCCTAAGAAAGGTGAGAAATCAGCCTAGAACTACACGGGAGGAGCTGGTCAATGATCTGAAAAGAGCTGGGACCACCGTTTCCAAGGTTACTGTTGGTAATACACTAAGACGTCATGGTTTGAAATCATGCATGGCACGGAAGGTTCCCCTGCTTAAACCAGCACATGTCAAGGCCCGTCTTAAGTTTGCCAACGACCATTTGGATGATCCAGAGGAGTCATGGGAGAAAGTCATGTGGTCAGATGAGAACAAAATAGAACTTTTTGGTCATAATTCCACTAACCGTGTTTGGAGGAAGAAGAATGATGAGTACCATCCCAAGAACACCATCCCTACTGTGAAGCATGGGGGTGGTAGCATCATGCTTTGGGGGTGTTTTTCTGTACATGGGACAGGGCGACTGCACTGTATTAAGGAGGGGATGACCGGGGCCATGTATTGCGAGATTTTGGGGAACAACCTCCTTCCCTCAGTTAGAGCATTGAAGATGGGTCGAGGCTGGGTCTTCCAACATGACAATGACCCGAAGCACACAGCCAGGATAACCAAGGAGTGGCTCTGTAAGAAGCATATCGAGGTTCTGGCGTGGCCTAGCCAGTCTCCAGACCTAAACCCAATAGAGAATCTTTGGAGGGAGCTCAAACTCCGTGTTTCTCAGCGACAGCCCAGAAACCTGACTGATCTAGAGAGGATCTGTGTGGAGGAGTGGGCCAAAATCCCTCCTGCAGTGTGTGTAACATAGATGAAATGATCTACGTTTAAAAATAGGAAAAGCCTATAAAAATCTGAATGAGTGATTTTATTTTTGAAATGCAACTTGAGATTATCTAAGGATTTTGAAGGGTTAAAATTCAGTTACCAGGGCAAAATGGACCGACAGGTTAATTTGGCCAATCAGCTGACAGCAGGTAGGCCCGCCCACCTGCTCCCGCGTCTCTGGGAGCGAGCGAAAGTTTTTTTCCCCCGCTGCTGTGTATGTGTGGAGAGACAGAAGTGCTACGCTGCTGTAGAGGATGAACACTGTGAAAACCGGAGAAACCTGGAGAAAATACAGCTAAAAAAAAACGAACTACACTGAGGCTAACTTCAACACTACAAACGTGTTAGCTAACTGCTGTAAGAATTTAGTTGTAAGTTCAGTGTTTAGATATAGCGCTTGAGACGACTACTAGCAGCGTCGGTAGCTTTGATGTCCGTAGGATTTCCCGCGACGCACAGTCTTTGCTGATTCAAGAGCGAGGTAATTCATTTAAAACTGCTTTTGTTCATTCTTTATCACCTTACTGTGAAAGCTAATTTATTTTGCACTGAGAGAAAGTACTGAAAGTTGCATACGGTCTTGTATGTTTCGGTTTTAGAAGACCTTGTGACTTTACTGGGCGCCGCCATTTTGGGTGTGTGTCCAGCCGCTCTGGTGAAATCGGTGAGAATGTTCATTTTCAACTTAAGAATTTCACTTACTTTGTACCTTAAATTATTTATGTGCACTTAGTGAATATGAAGCTACAATTTTAGTTGAACAAGCTGGTTTACTGTGTTGTTTAATGTGTAAACTCAGCTTACTTTATTTTGCACTTGCATCAAAACTTTAATTGTTCTAACATGCAGCTTATCTGGTTGTGTGCAGCCAAGTTATTTATGTTTATATGCTGAATTTTGAGAGAGAGGCACAGAAAGTAAACACCCACAGTATGTATATCATTGTGTATTGTGAATTTCATGTAGTGTATATTATTGCATGAGACTTAAGCAGTGAATATTTCTCTGACCCTGTCTGTTGACAGGTCAGGTTTTTTTTTTTTTTTTTTTTGTGTGCGCGCGTGTTTCTTCTTCCATTGTCTGGATTGGATCTGCGGATGAAAACTGATGGCGAGCCGTCCCTCTTGAATGATTGTGGGAGCCATTCCCTCTTCAGGATCACTGGACCTGTCCCGCTACTACTGCACTTTGCGGTGTGGTAGGCCCCACTAAAACACAAAACCCCTTCACTCACCTTCACACTCCTTCCCCCACACACATACATACACCAACCCTATGGAACTCTGAACTCTGACTTAACTTCGACACATCCATTTTTTGTTTGGACTTTGGACTCACTTAAAAAAACTCACCTGTTCACACCTTGGGACTGAGAATTTGGAGCTGAGTAGTAGGAATCATTCCTGCAGTTAAGGGTTACTGTTGTACTGTGTGAATTCTATTGGATTGTATTATTGAACTGGATCTGAACAAACTTATTAACAGAAATTCAGGTTAAAGGGTGCACCCGGGAATTTAATTATAGAACTACTTCAAAGAGTGAAATGCTCACTTTAAATTTGGAAAGCAAGCATTTCATGCTGATGTCATAGCCTGATTGTGATATCAGTAATCGCCTTATTCATTACTTGTTTTATTATTGTACTTTTTCATTTTTGGTACCAACCAATATTTTTATTTTTATACATATCTTCAAATATAAGAAGCCGGCATTATCTTACATCTAATCCTTGGTCTCTGAGTCTCATTTTAAACACCTCACTTTTGCTCCAGCAGCCGAACCAACCGACTTAACCAACCAACCAACCAATCAGATCACGGCCCTACCCATAATCCTTCCTGTGTGCTACATGTGCAAACCTGGTGAAAAACTACAGGAAACGTTTGACCTCTGTAATTGCAAACAAAGGCTACTATACCAAATATTAACATTGATTTTCTCAGTTGTTCAAATACTTATTTGCAGCTGTATCATACAAATAAATAGTTAAAAAAAAAATCATACATTGTGATTTCTGGAATTTTTTTTTTTAGATTATGTCTCTCACAGTGGACATGCACTTACGATGACAATTTCAGACCCCTCCATGATTTCTAAGTGGGAGAACTTGCAAAATAGCAGGGTGTTCAAATACTTATTTTCCTCATAGTCATAGTAATTCTTTTTTTGCTTTCTTAGTACTGATATCTATTTTTATACTGTTCCTTTTTCCTTGGTTGGACACTTAAAATCCATATATAGCTTGTTCTTTTTACATGATTTTCCTAAACTCTGTCATCCAAGGTGACAACCTATTTTTGTTTCTGTTTACATTTTTTCAAAGGACAATGATTATCATAAATTTGTGTAAATATTTCCAAGAATGCATTATATGAATCATTAACATCTTTAACAAACATTTTGCCAGTTATAATTTAATAATTCTATTTTCATAGCTTCCATAGCTCCAGGTAATTTTAATCTAACTAAATTTAAATTTTGTTTTCCCATTCTTAAATGTAACTCATTCAACATATCCAACACAGTAAACACGGGTAAATGATCAGTAATATCTGTTACTAAAAGTCCACTTTTTGTTTTCACATTAGATCAATCGATAGTCTGGACTCTGGAGGTGGCTGACGTATTGCGGTAAGCGTGTCGACTCATTTCCGTTTCCGGTGCTTGTGTGTTGGTACCGTGTTGTTGCTCTCGCTAAATAACAGTTACATTTGTTTGATTACAGCGGCCAACTGTTCGCTAAACACTTATTCTTTACAGTAATTTTGCCTAAGCACTCACAGTTCTTTCCATCTTTTAGTGACTGCTGTTCAATCTCATAGTTGTTCTAAAGTTTTGGTAGCTGACGCTACAGTACTTTAGCTTAGCCGTTAGCGACTTTAGCTTAGCAGCTAGCGATGGCTTCTCCTTCTCCCTCTCTCTCTCCTACTTTCTCCTGCTCGGTGTGTCAGATGTTTAGTTACTCCTCTGCCTCCTTTAGCGGTAATGGTACATGTAATAAGTGTAGTTTATTTATAGACATGGAGGTGAGGCTCAGTGATTTAGAAGTCCGGCTCCGCACCTTGGTAGATCAGTCTTTAGCTACTGTAGCTAGCCAGTCCCCGGTAGTCGGTGCGGAACGGCCTGAGTTAGCCTCTGGTAGCCGTCCTCCGGCATCCCCTGTGCAGCCAGGAAAGGGGGGCTGGGTGACTGTCCGAAGGAGGAATAGTCGTAAGCATTCAAAGTCCACGGGGCATCATCAACCTGTTCACGTTTCTAACAGATTTTCCCCACTCAGCGACACACCCGCTGAGAAACCAACTCTGATCATTGGCAGCTCCATTTTGAGAAACGTGAAGTTAGCGAAGCCAGCGGCCATAGTTAAGTGCATCCCTGGGGCCAGAGCGGGCGACGTTGAGTCTTATTTGAAACTGCTGGCTAAGGATAAACGTAAATACTGTAAGATTGTTATTCACGTCGGCGGTAATGACTCCCGGTTACGCCAATCGGAGGTCACTAAGATTAATGTTGAGTCGGTGTGTACATATGCAAAAACAATGTCGGACACCGTAGTTTTCTCTGGACCCCTGCCAAATCTGACCAGTGATGACATGTATAGACTCATGTCGTCATTCCGCCGCTGGTTGTCGAGGTGGTGTCCAGCAAACGATGTGGGCTTTGTTGATCATTGGCAGACTTTCTAGGGAAGACCTGGTCTGATCCGGAGAGACGGCATCCATCCCACTTGGGAAGGAGCAGCTCTCATTTCTAGAAATCTGGCCAAGTTTATTAGTGGACCAAATCCATGACAACCCAGAGTTGAGACCAGGAGGCAGAGTCGCAGTTTAACACACTTCTCTGCCCTTCTTTTTCAGCAGTTACCCACCCAAAACCCTACGCAGAGTCGCAGTCTAACACACTTCTCTGCTCCTCCATTTCAGGAGTTACTTAGTGAAAATCCTATAGTGACGGTGTCTGCCCCCCGACCATCGAAATTATTTAAAAAGGTAAACAGAAGAGGAGCTGTGCATAAAAACCTCATAAAAATTAAAACCACAAGAGCAATAGTGCAAACGAATAGGAGAGTTAAATGTGGACTCTTAAACATCAGATCTCTCTCTTCTAAAGGTGTACTAGTAAATGAACTAATATCAGATTATGATATTGATTTATTTGGTCTTACTGAAACCTGGCTGGGTGATGGAGAATATGTTAGCCTAAATGAATCCACCCCTCCCAGTCATATTAATACTCACATTCCTCGAGGCACAGGCCGAGGAGGTGGAGTTGCAGCTATCTTCGACTCTAGCCTACTAATCAGCTCTAAACCTAAACTAAAAATATAACTCATTTGAAAGTCTTGTTCTTAGTCTTTCGCACCCAAGTTGGAAATCACTGCAACCAATTCTTTTTGGTATAGGGTACCGAGCACCTGGCCCGTACTCTGAATTCTTATCTGAATTTGCAGAATTTTTGTCAACTTTAGTTCTTAAAACGGACAAAGTTATTATTGTAGGAGATTTTAATATTCATGTGGATGTTGAGAATGACAGCTTTAGTACTGCGTTTATCTCTGTTAGATTCCATCGGCTTCTCTCAGAGTGTTCATGAACCGACTCACTGTTTTAACCACACCCTCGACCTTGTTTTGGTGTATGGTATTGAAATTGAACATTTAGTGGTGTTCCCACAGAATCCCTCTTTATCCGACCACTGTTTGATAACTTTTGAGTTTGTATTGCTGAACTACTCGCCATTGGGCAAAAATTTCTATACAAGATGTCTGTCTGATAGTGCCATAGCTAAATTTAAGGATGCGATTCCATCAGCTCTAAATACATTATCTAGTCACAAAGTAACAGAGGACTCCTATGCTAATTTCAGTCCCTCCCAAATCGATCATCTTGTTGATAGTGCTGCAGACTCGCTGCGAATGACTCGACTCTGTAGCCCCTCTAAAAAAGAAAATACTAAAACAAAGACGGTTAGCTCCATGGTATAATACTGAAACTCGCAAATTAAAGCAAATATCACGGAAACTTGAGAGGAATTGGCATTCTACCAAAGTGGAAAATTCTCGTTTAATTTGGCAAGATGGTCTTAAAACTTATAGGAAGGCCCTCCGTAATGCCAGAGCAGCGTACTACTCGTCATTAATAGAGGAAAATAGGAACAACCCAAAGTTTCTTTTCAGCACTGTAGCCAGGCTGACAGAGAATCACAGCTCTATTGAGCCAAGTATTCCCATAGCTCACAGTAGTTACGATTTCATGAGCTTCTTTAATAATAAAATTCTAGCTATTAGAGACAAAATTCACCAAGACCTGCCCTCAATTGGCACCGACTTATCTCTTAACTCAGGAACCTTAGAAACAGCTGTAGAACCAGATACATGTTTAGACTGTTTTGCTTCCCTCAATCTTTACCAACTAACTCCAATAATTTCTTCATCTAAACCATCAACCTGCCTCTTAGACCCCATCCCGACTAGGCTGCTTAAAGATGTTCTACCCTTTGTCAGCACCTCTATACTAGATATGATCAATCTATCTTTATCAACAGGCTATGTACCACAGTACTTTAAAGTAGCTGTAATTAAACCTCTTCTGAAAAAGCCCAAACTTGATCCGGATGTTTTAGCCAACTATAGACCTATATCTAACCTTCCATTTCTTTCTAAGCTTCTGGAGAAAGCAGTTGCTAAACAGCTGTGTGACTTTCTACAGAGCAATAGTTTATTTGAGGATTTTCAGTCAGGATTTAGAGCTCATCATAGCACAGAGACAGCACTGGTGAAAATTACTAATGACCTCCTTATTGCATCAGACAAAGGACTTGTCTCTGTACTGGTTTTATTAGATCTTAGTGCTGCATTTGATACCATTGACCATCAGATCCTATTGCAGACTGGAATATTTCATTGGCATTAAAGGAACCGCTCTAAGCTGGTTTAAGTCCTATTTATCAGATCGATTTCAGTTTGTACATGTTAACGATGAGTCCTCCATGCACGCCAAAGTTACTCATGGAGTTCCTCAAGGATCTGTCCTCGGACCAATCCTCTTCACTTTATATATGCTTTCTTTAGGCAATATTATCAGGAAACATTCCATAAGCTTTCATTGTTATGCAGATGATACTCAGTTATATCTATCGATCAAGCCAGATGAAACTCATCAGTTAGCTAAACTTCAAATGTGCCTTCAGGATGTTAAAACCTGGATGACCTGTAATTTTTAATGTTAAACTCAGATAAAACTGAAGTTATTGTTCTGGGGCCTAAGCACCTCGTGACGCATTATCTAAAGATATAGTTTCCCTGGATGGCATCGCCTTGGCCTCCAGCACCACTGTGAGGAATCTTGGAGTTATCTTTGATCAGGACATGTCGTTTAAGTCTCACATTAAGCAAATTTCAAGGACCGCCTTTTTTCACCTATGTAATATTGCGAAAATCAGGAACATCCTGTCTAAAAATGATGCAGAAAAACTAGTCCATGCATTTGTTACTTCTAGGCTGGATTACTGCAATTCCTTATTATCAGGCTGCTCGAAAAAGTCCATTAAGACTCTTCAGCTGATCCAGAATGCTGCAGCACGTGTTCTGACAGGAACCAGGAAAAGAGATCACATTTCTCCTGTTTTAGCTTCTTTGCATTGGCTTCCAGTAAAATCCAGAATAGAATTTAAAATCATTCTTCTTACCTACAAAGCTCTTAATGGTCAGGCACCATCTTATCTTAAAGAGCTCATAGTACCTTACTACCCCACCAGAGCACTGCGCTCCCAGAATGCAGGGTTACTTGTGGTTCCTAGAGTCTCCAAAAGTAGACTAGGAGCCAGAGCGTTCAGCTATCAAGCTCCTCTCCTGTGGAACCAGGTTCCAGTTTGGGTTCAGGAGACAGACACCATCTCCACATTTAAGAGTAGGCTTAAGACTTTCCTCTTTGATAAAGCTTATAGTTAGGGCTGGCTCAGGTGAGTCCTGAACCATCCCTTAGTTATGCTGCTATAGGCCTAGACTGCCGGGGGATTTCCCATGATGCACTGAGCTCCTCTCTCCTCTACTTTCTCTCCCTCTGTATGCAACCTTATCCCATTATTGCATGTTACTAACACAACTTCTCCCCTTTCTGGTAGTCTTGTGCTTTCTCGTCCCTCTCCTCTCTCCTCCTATCACTTCCTGCAGGTTTTCTGGCTCTGGAGCTGTGGAGTCTGGATCTGTGGCTGCGGGTCACCTGCTGCCCCTGTGTTCCTGCTCGGCGCCCTCTGCTGCAACGACTATTGTTGCTAGTCTTATTGTTATTATTGTTATTATAATCATTAACATTACGATGGTTACCATTAACACTATTATAAATATCTGTACCATTTTTCATTTAGTCTATAGCAACATTACCTTCACTGTGTGTACCTCTGTGTGTATATTGTGTAGGCTGCCTCTCTCTCTCTCTCTCTCCCTCTCTCTCTCTCTCTCTCTCTCTCTCTCTCCCCCCCCCCCCCCAACCGGTCGAGGCAGATGGCCGCCCACCCTGAGCCATGGTTCTGCTCGAGGTTTCTGCCTCTTAAAAGGAAGTTTTTCCTTGCCTCTGTCGCCTAGTGCTTGCTCTTGGTGGGAACTGTTGGGCTTCTGTAAATATCATCACAGAGTACGGTCTAGACCTGCTCTTTTATGAAAAGCGCTGTGAGA